GCGGTTTGGCAGGCAGAGTGGGCCTGATTCAACCAACTGCTTATGTGTCACTGAAATCAATGGTGCTATTTAGGGGCTTAATTGCTTTGCTGAATCCAGGCCAAAGAGACAAAAAGCAAGATGGTTAAGCTGCAAAGCTTGGATATATATCTTAAATCTTGAACACTTACATCCTTTATCAATATTATAATTCTCCCCAATAATTCACAGTTGTTCAGGAAAGTTTCAAAGGAAACACGTGCCTTACTTTTTGGCCTTGACTTAGCAAACATTTTGGTGTCCATTATTCATGCAGATGGTGCCATTTTCTTAAGAACAGAAAGACACAAGTGAAGTGCCACAACAGGCTGTTTTTGCAGGTCAGAGCTGTATTTAATATCTACAGCATTTAAGCATTCCTACCAAGGTTATACAACTGCTAGAGACATCTGGACCTAATACTGAAATGTTCCTATTGCAATCTGTGTGCGTGAATATTCTTGTGCCAAAATACTTATTTAAAACTGTCTTTAAAAGAAAGAACAATAAGTTCAAGGAGTTATAATTTTTTGCAGTTGTTTTTCTTTCAATAACAAACACACCTCAGACAAATAAAAATTAACAGTTTCAATACCAGTGTTAAAATAATGCTCTTATTCACTGGTTAGTCAGTATCCATAAAGAATGACTGCATTTGCCCTAATTAATGCCCCATTTTCAGGAAAGGCTTTAATTAACATCTGACATTTAAGCAGCACTACAATGTGGTGTGCAATTATCACCTGGCCTATTTCAGTGTGATTCAAATGCTCTTGGAGAAAAACGCTTTTTTTTCCTTGAAAGTTTTACTGAACAGAGTAGCAAGAGAGATCTAAGGAAACAACGAAAAGAAAGCCAGATCTTTAAAGAGATTTGGGGTGACGTTTTCCAGTAAAAATAGCTCGCCACAGTGGCTGGCTGCCCCCTCAAAAAGAGGGGAACCCATTCATGCACCTCTCAGTTTTGCCCTGGGCCATGTATTTCTAACCCACTTCCTCTCCCCAAACTGGCAAAGCCCTGAGTGCCATTGGGAGAGTCAGAACTAAAAATACAACTGAGCCCATTTGAAAAATCAATGCTGCTAAAACAGGATGGTCTTCCTTCTCTAGTTTCCTCCATCTTCTTTCCCCTGCTTTGTGTCCCTCAGGCTCCACCAGCAGCAAGCCAAGCCAGTTCAGTTCCTTAGCCTTGGAATCAAAAGAGAAACTATTTGCTGTGCTAAAACAGTTTCCTGACAGTTCAGTGAGCTCAGCTGGCTCACCCTTGGTTCTCACAACCAGGAAGGAAAAGGAAGAAGCGTGGGACCACCATCTCCCAGTGGAAGTGGGCTGGTGTTTTGTCTTGTAAAATCAGATCTTATCTTGTGTAGGATGGCACACCACACAGAAACATGTTTTGTACTGTATATATTTTCTATCAGAAAATTTGTGTCTAACCAAATGACAGTGTTGGTGAAGTGAAAGGTGAGAGCACGTGGCAGGGACCTGATGGCCCTTTTGGCTGGCCTGAGGCCATGTTGAGCTGTAACCAGAAAGAGGACTTTGCAGAGCACGAACATATTTTTCCCTACCTGTTCAAGTTATATGGCACGAAAACATGGAATGGTTTAGGCTGGAAAAGGCCTTTGAGTCCATAGAGTCATACACTAACTTAAGTAGCTAATAATGTTTAAATACCCAGTATTTTCTGGGTCACTGAGAGTGTGAGCAAGCACCAAGCTGTGTCCATGCTGAACCTCTCTCCTGCTCTCTGGCCTGATCAATATTTCATTATGCTATATCATGAGAAACAGCTTTTAGCATGGGGGCCATGGCTCCTTTCCCTCAGCTTCCCAAGAATTCACTACAGCCTTCTGATCAGAGCACCTTCCTCAGAGAAATGAGCTGGTCTGCTTTGGCAGAAGACAGCGTGGGTGACACTTCCCACGTGCTACAAAGGCAGATGTTTCTTTACCTCATCTTCCAGCCATGCCTTGTTGGAGCTCAGAATCAGCTCTGCAGGAGAAGATCCTTAAACAACATGGACAGAGAACATAAAATCAACACATGTATAGGATGGGTACAGAGCTACCTGTGAAGAGCTAAGCCTTTTGCAGATATATCTAGTGACCGAATATTGTGTGAGAAATAACACACTGGCAACTTGGAGCATGAAGTGGAGGACGGGCTGACATACAAGTATTGATAAGGTTGCAGTTCTGAGGTACTCATGGTGACTGTCCCCAGCCAGCCCCTGCCTAATAAAATCAAACTAAATGCAACTTAGCATATAGGGCTACATTTAGAAAGCTGCAGCAGCTCTGGGGTATTTCAGATATCTGCAGTGAGGACAGGAGAGACAGCTGGGGTGGCAGTCTTGTTAGCTAACCTGATATAAATTGTCTCTTCCCATGAATCACAGCTGTCAGGCTCCAATGGGATTTAGGACCCTCTAGGGTGAGGCTGTAAGGAGAAACTGAATATCATGGTTTTGGATCCAGAAATCTAAATTTTAGAATTATTTCAGAAATTTAGGAATAGAATGCATGTGTCCACATTCTTCTGTGGGTAGAGTCTTTGGAGTATATGTTATACCATCCTTTAGCCTGCCACACTTCCACACAGAGCTGATGATATTTGCCTCCTAAAAATTACAGTCAAGGGACCCTTTATGAAATGATTGTTTGGTTATGTGTTGGTTAGTATCCAATAATTCCTGAGATCTAAGCCCAGATCTGTCATCTATTTGTTCCATTGCTCTGAACGGAGTTAGTAAAAATAGCACCCGGGAGCTCTGTATCTACTAGAATTCAATATTTCAGTCTGGCAGCCTTGAAATCAAGAGCGAAGCATTGCTGTTTCAGCCAGTATATCATCACCAGCTTCTGGGTTGGTGATGGGAAATGGGCACATTCTATATAATTTAGGTGGTAACCTGACTCTCCCACGTCAGTACTACTTCAGCAATGCAAGAAGAAAATGTTATTGAAATCAGTGAAATTATTTGCAAGAATAAGAGTAAGCAACTTTGCAGGACTGTAAATTTTTTTCCCCTTTCTCTCTTGTTTATGTAAAGTCAAACATCTAGAGGACTAGTCACCATCCTGCTGAAAGTTACAGCCTATCTGGTCTGTTTTCGAAGATGATCCCATTTACCAGTTCATTTTCCTACAGTCCTCATTCTTCACTTTCAGTGCATCCTAGTCTTTTCATCATATCCATATCCTATATGACGCAAGACAATAAAACCAAAAATGAGGCAAACTGGTTCATGGATCTGCCAGTCCGGTTTGTGCTACTTCCACCAAGAGCTGCTAGGTGGCAATATGTTACCTGGAAAAACAGACGAGCTTCCAGCCGCCGTCGCCCTCCTCTGCTTCCGAGCGAGCTGGGACGTGCCTGGGCATAGCTCCGCTCCGAAAGAGCGCTTGGAGCAGGACCTGGTGAGAGCTGCTTCACTCGCACTCAGATCTTTACTGAGATTTTCCAAACAAAACTGCAGGGCTGAATCGTACTGAAAAAATTCTTTGTGAACCCAAGAGGAAAAATAAGAGGCAAGCCTGTTTGTTGCAGAGAGTGTTGTAAAAAAGAAATGGATCCTTCTATTGTATATAGATAGCGGTGCCTGGGACTAGACTATTTCATATTCTCGATTCTCTGAACAATACAAAGTTGAAAGTATCTGTTCAGCGTGAAAAGCTTTTGTTTTTCCGCATAAATGATTAATTGAAATCTCCAACATATTCAATCATAATTTTTAATGAACTAGGCCAACTTTGGAACATTTGTATTGACAGTTGGTTTGAAAAACAGTTTTAATAAAGATGGAGAAGATATATTTCCAGATAAATGTTTCAGCCATGCTACAAACACTTAAAACTGAGTCATCTTATGTATGTGTCTCAACAAGGACACAGAAAGACTAGCTCATATTTGCATATTATTTTGAATATGCAAAGCACTAAGTGATCTTCACTGAAATTGAAATCTTTTGTTTTCCTTGATCTGGCTGCCGGCGAAACCGGGGGTAGGGCTGTGTGCGACAGTGCCATTTTATGCCAGCCTCAAGTTTACACAATTACAGTTTGATGCCAGGGTAGTCTCAGCACTTTGGCTCACCTGACAGAGCTGGTACAGGTGAGCGGCACCTGGAGCCGGGCAGGCACAGCGGCCAGCTGGAAAGAGCTCCCACTTAGGCTGACAGGTAAAATAGACAGATGTGAAAATGGGGAACCCAAGTGTCTCTTTGTGACGACAGGGACAAGGAGCTAACACCTCTCCTGCCTGCTGCCCAACACCAGGCACAGCAAGCGGGGGTCCCGCCGCTCCAGGCTGGATCCTCCCGGCAGCGGTTCCTATCCAAACCGGAGCCACCTGAGGCGAGACCTTGTCCTGAGCCAGCAGAGAAATGAGGATTTTCAATTACCCTGACTTGGATAGAAACACAGCGCTTGGTTTTTAGAGATGGAGGCGATCAGTGCAGAAAACAACAATAATGACGACCTGCTTATGTAGTATTTAGCATCCTTGGAGCTGACAAGTATCGTCTGCTTCAAAATGGCTTAAATTCAGGCAGAGTTCTGGGTGCTTGGGGTCATCTCTGTATGGACGTGGTATAAAGACGTCTCCTGCCGGCCCCAAGTCAGTCCCCAGCTCCCGGGGCTCGAAAGGCTTTAAATCCCCTTAGCGGGGCGCGGGGCTGTCCCGACACCGCTGCTCCCGGGGCGCGGGCAGGCGGCTGCGGGCCCGGCCCGGAGGCCGCGGCAGCGGTTCCCGGCCGGGCCCTTTCCCCGCAGCACCGCCCGCCTCCGCTGCTCCGCCGGCGCCGGGGCCAGGTCAGTGCCCGGCCGCCGGGCTCCGCCGCCCCGGCCGCCCGCGGCCCTCGGGGGGAAAAGGGGCCTCAGTGGGAGAACGGGGCGGCCGAGGCGGCGCGGGGCCCGGGGCGGGGCGGCCGCGGGGCGTCCCGGTGCCCGCGAGGCCTCGGGCTGCCCGGGGCAGAGGCGAGGTGGCCTCGGCGGTGCTGGAGAGATCGGCGGTGCTTCTGCATGGCCCTGATAGCTCGGGTCCCGCTTTGGATGCAGCCAGTCACAAGGCTACGGCCCTGCTCGGCACTGAGCCCTGACTTGAAGGTTGATCTAACATAAGTCATTTTGGGGGGAAAAAAAAGTGTCAGAAAAGCTTCCCTAGGTCAGACCACGTACAACAGCGCATTGCTCGGGATTTTGGCGTGGCAGGTTAGCAGCAAGAAATGTCTGCTGGGGAAGTAGCTTCCACCCCTCGGTCCCTTGAGTCTTCACATTCCTCCCAGGGTGGTACCGCACAGGGAAATTGCCATTGCTTCCCGAATTTCAGTGTGTGGAGCCACGGAAGCAGGTGACAGGCAGTCCTGGTGTGGTGCTGCTCGTTCCCAGTGCTATTATGTGGGGACAGGAGAATCGTGGCTGCGTGGCCAGTTCAGACCTCGGTATATGGTTGTTGGTTTTGCTGTCGACAGGAGCATTTATGGGTGGTGGCGGTAAGGAGAGAATAGTAAAGAACAGTGAATTAGTGGAATTCAGAATACTCCTTCACTAAAGAAGTTACCATTTTCAAGGCAGCCATTGGGAAAGCATCAGTATTTGCGGTTACAGCTAGAATTTAATCCATGCTTTTATGGTTCATGATTTGGTGACTGAAAGGCAAATGGTTGTGAGTTGGCTGTGGTTATTTCCATTCCTGTGAAGTTGTGCATCTGCTCTTCTTAAAGGTCTCTAAAACACACCTAGTGGGCAGTGAACTTAAAAGAGTTTTCTGTCACTGTTATAAAAGCTCCTTTGATGACAGGTATGAAGAGAATGTCTTTGGATCAAAACATTAAAAAATAAAGGGTCGCAGTGCTTTTTGCAGAAGATAACAGATTCTTGCCCTATGCCGTGAAACTCAAAATCTTTTACTCACCATAGGACCACAATCAAATGGTTTTAGGTGGTGTCATGTATATTTATAGAAAGACTTTCTTCATCAGTTGTTTTGCTTCCCTAAATATCATTATTTTTCTGTGGACTTCAGTATGTTTCTTTGTGATTTGTTCATTATTCTTCAAAATAATTAAAATGTGATTAAAAGAGAATGTAATTGTTTAGGGATAGAAAGACAATTCACATTTAAACTCTAGCCTACAGGGATCCTTAAAAAATACAAAACTGAACAAAGAACAAGTAGTTTGAAAAGCCTTAGCTTCCTATGCCTGGAAGTGAGCTGCTCAGAAACAATGAAAACAATAAGAAAGAAAGAAAAAAAAAGAGATAAAAGCAGAAATTAGGTGTAAATGGTCAGCCATCTTAAAACTGAAACTGCAGACAAGGGTTTGTTTTTTTTTTTTACTTGCAGTGTTAAAAGGTTTTTCTTTTCCCCAGTTAATTTTTATTTCCCATGTACGTTATTTGATGCTATTTCAGTCAGTTAATTTGGACATGGTCTCACTTCTTGTTCTCTCAGCTTCTGGATGGATCAGCTTTGGTTCTAAGAAGTAGGAGGCCCAAATGTTTTGTTCTCTCAACAGTAATACACAGGCTATAAAATTGTCCTTTAAAATACCAGCTACTTTTAAAGCCTATTTTTAGAGGAGTCATAAGGCTTTTAAAGTAACTTGCTGAACAGGAGGGACTGTTGATCCCATCTAATTTGTCTACGGTGCGGGTACCAGAGACAATGTACTAAAAATCTGAACAGAACTCAGCAACTTTAAGTGCCATGACATTTTTGAGAAAGGCGCAAGAGATCAGTCCCCTAGTTGGGGAGGCAGAATCTCCTCTGCTCCCCACCTTTGTTTAGTTTCTGTATTTGCAAATTATGTTTTGTCAGTAGGTTTTCTGCTGCTGATCCCTTACCATGCTTATGATCCGCTTACTGTTTGCTCTCAGCAGTGAGAAAGCCAACTGGAGAAGTGACTGCCCTCAGCTTGCTTCATGTAGTAATTATTAGAATGGGAGAACCTGTTGGACAAGGTGTTTAAAATAATCTAACCCACGCATCATGGAAGGAAAGTATAGAGATGGATAAGTGGATGAGGTAGGTGGAGGGATTTGTAACCTTCAGGGGTTACAAAGGGTGGTGACAAACAACTGGCAACAGAGGAATCCTGTGTGTGAGTCCTCCCTACTACACCTTTCTTGTGTCTGAAGACAGGGTCTAGTGACTCCTCTTCACTGTGAGACCAAGCTGGCCTCGTTTTGGTTTTGAATCTCTTCTCTTTGTCCAACACCAGAATTTATTTTCTTTTTTTTATTCTCCATAATCACTCACCAACCCACTGTCCAGGGTTACAGTCAGTTATTATTTTCACTCATTTTCAACCCACTTTTTTTTTTTTTTTTAATACAAATGGGCTATTTTCATGCTTTGTTTCTCCATCACTGCCTTTTCATCTGCTTTCATGCAATAGGGTCAGTTGTGCCAGCCCTCATCACTGAGCCACCCCTTGCTTTCCATTAATTGGCTGCTGCAGGAACCTGGTGAAGCATCTGCCAGTCCTAGTCACTGCTCCCTGGTACAGGTGAATGCCTTCTAAAGTGGCTGGTGAGACATCCACACATGATTGAATTGAGAATCACCTCATTATCGTCCTCATCCTCATCTAACTCTTCTTCCCTGTGTGCTTGTCGCTGAAATTGCAGCTGCCAAAGGTCTTCATCAAGTCAGGTTCTCTTGTTCTTCTTGACCAAATGTATTTGATATCTTTGGCAGTGTCACAAAAGTGCCTTTCTAATTGTTTTTTAAATGCCATTTGAATGTTTTCTCCTCCCTGAGATTTATTTTGTAGATTTTGTCTGTTGAATCTCTATTTCTGTTATGCTTAATCTCAGTATACCTTCATCCAAACCCAGAAATTCAGCTGATGATTTGTTTTGGTTTTTTTTCCAGTAGCTATATCTGCACATCACACCTGTCACATCCTGCCCCAGATGAAAAGGCATGCTTATTTCCCTGATGTATTGAAAACACATCTCTGCATCTTTTTTCCCCCAGTTTCTTTTTCTCTGACTTTCTGTCTTAACAATTCAGTCACCACTTTTCAACTGGAATTTTCCTTGCTCATGTATTTTAACTTGCTTTGTAGTGCAGTGTTTCTTGTTTGAGCATACAGCTCCTAAGATTCAGCTCTCTGGTTTGCCTTAGTTCTTCTACCCTTTCTTCTAGAAAGCTACTACCTACAGCTCTTACCTTTTTCTGGCTAGGTATCTTTATGTTCAGTGACAGTTGCAGCTGGCAGCATTGCTGGAGGTTGCTGTTTGATACATCATGTGTTACAAGAAAAATTTGGTTTGCAACAGAGTAGTGGTAAATGGCAAGGGCAAATAGGCTTGTTCAAGATTTAGTAATTTCCCAAAGAATCTACTCATTAGGGACTATTGATGTAGGTATTATGCCTGTTTTATTATTGGTGTTATTAACGTGGTGAGGTCTGAATTTTACCTGGACAGTTGCCAGAGGCTGTCAGAAGGCCTCTGATAATCTGCATGCACAAAAATACATAGATTGTGAGTGCATGCATGTAGATACATGTGCTGCTCTTGTAGATACGTGTGCTGCTCTTGCATAATGTGTGTCAGTCCTTTGTACTGAAATGCTGGCATTCGATGTGTTTATATTAACCCACAGTCTACTACCCCACAGGCAAGGGTGTTACAAAATCACTTGAATGCCAAATGGGATTAAAACTGTTGTTTTATGTAAGAGGTATAATAACTGTGGCATGAACAACTATTGATGTCCATACTGTTGCTTCTCTCTTAATTGTCACCAGTGATATATAAAGATGTAGCAATTAAAACATATGAAAGATGCTAATTGACCACTGTTATTCCTACACTGTCTATTGTCTATATTCCTGTACTAGATATGATTATGTTAAACTGAAAATCTGAAAATTTTAGTGTTAATAAATACCCCCTGGCTTGTCCTACAACATCGTGCTATTGCAACATCTTTCTTTCACTGCTTTCATGCAAAATGCTGAAATAATCAATTGCAGTCATGCAGTGGATTATGAGTGCTCTGTACTGATTGAAATTTTGGATGTTGTTTGTCACATATTTGCAGAAATCCCTTTAGACTAAGAGAGCTCTAGCTTTTCCTATCATGCTTTTCATGAGTGGTTAGCTCAGTCAGACTGAACTGTTAAAATAATATTTTTTTTAATTAAAAAATAGTACTGGGCACTGACCGGTACGGTAGGAGATGGTTGTAAAGAAAATAATTCAAAGATTATACCTTGCATGAGTCATTAATCATGAGTCATGATCAGCAGGCAGTGGTGTCCAATTTGTTTTCTAATCCTGCACTTGCTGCTGTTCTTTATTACCATAGTGATAATATTAAAGAGCTGTTAATGCATATAACCACGCAGTTGAAAATGACAGACTTTTTTCCCATTGGAATAAAATTTCCATATCTTAAGTCTGTTTTGCTCAGTATATTTCTTGTCATGAGAAATTCAGTAGTGTATAAAAGTCATGAAAAAAAGTTTTAAGTCATCAAGTGGTTAAGTTAGCAGAACAGCTTTTTCTTCCCCCTCCTCTTTGCTTTCAAGCCAGTAATTGGGCCTTCTGCGAGAATTCCAGATTGTCTTTTTTTGGTATAAGAACTGGGGATACTTTGTATTCATTAAAAATTGGGAGCTGATTGTTCAAGGTATACTTTACAAGGAAAGGCTGCGCTGTCCATGTATTTCATGTTTGTTCTCTCCTGAGCAAAAACTAGTAGCTGAATGGAAAGTTTTATTGCATTAATATATGCTGAGGAATGACTACTGAGGTTTTAGAGAAAAGGGAAGGCTGCCTCTCTCTTGAGAGCCTGAATATAAAAAGAATCAATTAGGAGAAATGAGCTTTAGAAACCCATTTTCGCTCTTTAAATAAAATTTTAAAAGCTCTGAAAGGAGGTAGCTGAGGTGTTGCAAATATTAGAATGTGCATAGATGGAGAGTGTTTGGGTGCAGCAGCAGTCAGGGAATGTTTTTTATGAAGTAATGAATCTTGTATTCAATTAGATTTTAAACTTGATTAAATTTTGTAATTAGTTTTATTAGTTTACACTTTGGAAAAGTTTGTCATCACATTAAAACCTTGTTTGTCAACAGATATTAAAAATCATTCATTTACAATTTCTTGTGTAGATGATTTTATAATGCATAGATTTGTGTAGGCCTTACTAGTTTCTTTGTGTTGAGCTTGTGAGATCCTGTTGTATTGGTGGGTGCAGTTTGGCAGGACAGGTACAAATCTACTGGCATAGATGGCTCTTCACAGATGCCTGGTATTGCTTCATGTTCCTTCACATCCCATGGTGTGGTTGCTCTGCAAACTCCTCCTTCCTTTGAAGGAGGACTGTACCTGCACCAACAGAAGCATTTTCAAATTTAATGTAGGATGGTACAGCCAGTGACAAGATAAGTGTTCATCTGACAGGGCTGTTCACTTGTTTCATTAGGAGCTAATTGTGTGTGGTTTTTAATGTGCATTTACTTGATCATGTGTAAATAAAAAAGGCTTTCAAAAATGTTGAGTCTGTGAACTCTAAGGTACCCTGAACAGAGCATACAATATAGCCGTCACTAAATTCTGCCTCAGTGAATTTGTGTTCTGAATTCACCATAGAAAAACTTTCCAACAGATGCTTGCCAATTTTGAAAGTATCTTGTTTCTTCCAAATATGATTCAGAAACAAAGAATGTCTTTTCCAAGTTACCAAAAAAATGAGCATCTACCACGTCTTCTGAGTGACCAAGCCCATTACAAAGTAGGTTGGGGCAAAGGTAGGACTACTCTATCAAATTGCAAAATAACAAGCTTTTTTTTCCCCCCATGTCCTGAGGCAGTTCTTTGGATTCGCATTCTGATTGGTTTCTAAGATGACTTTATTTACAGATCAGCTCTTTCCAGTTCAGGCTTTACTCATTTTCTTTCAAGTCACTTGTAAACCACTTTCTCCATTAGACCCATTTCCAAAGTAAATAAATTAAGGCAGAGATGTAGGTCAAGTGTAATGTATGATAATTTTTTGTTTTCTTTCTTGTTATTTCCTGATCTGCAGTCACACACTGGGATGACAGGGAAAAGCACATAGCAATCAGGGGCTAGGCACACTAATTAGTTTTAAGATGGGGCGTTAATGGAATTAGGTGACAGGGAACAGACTTTGATATAGGAATGATTTTCAGTTCTTAATTTTTAAGTTCCTCAAGTATTTCTCTTGGGAAGGTCTTGCTCTAATAGTTGCTTACAGAAAAGCAGGACATCCAGATCTTGAAAGCTGTGGGATGTGGTAGGATTTTTCTTCCGTTTTAGGTGTGTTTAGGGGTCCCGATGTTTTTTTTAGAGAGAAGAGTGAGGGAGGGTTTACAGAGTAAATTGGTCTAGTGAAATACATAAGAGTCTTGCTGTAGTTTTTGAGCCTCTTTTGTGTTCTGTAGGCAAATACTTTTTTGGTAAATTTTGCAAAGTATTTTAAAAGGTGCTAATATCTGTCTGAACTTCTAAAATCACTCCATAAAACTCCTTCTGATAACTTTGTGGGGTAAATTCAAACCAGGAGTTTTGCAAATATAGTTTGCAGTGATTTCTGTCAACTGTTATGATTGTATCACCTTTATATTAGTTTCTGCTGTCATACTTCCCTCTTTTTCTGCAGACTGAAGTGGATTTCAAAGAAAATATCTTGATTTTTTTCCCCCTTCATTCCATGTATTTCCAGAAATGGCCCTTGCTCTGTGGAAGAACTTACTTCAGACTACAAAGAAAAGGATACTACAACAGAGAAGGTTGTCACTGTATAATGGTGCTCATGGCTATGAGGAAGAATTGATAAAGAAGAAACTTCAACAGTTTTCTGGTGGATCCATCAACCTTTCCAAAGAAGACAATGGCATTGGAATACTTACTTTGAATAACCCAAAGCTAATGAATGCATTTACAGGTATTAATTAGTTGATAGAATTGCTAGTTGGTTTTGGTTTTTCTCTTGTTCAGTTACCTGTTTTGACATTTTGCCTAAAGAAAGTGTAACATTCTGCCTTACAATGCCTTAGTTAAAAGAATAAATGTTTAAATTTTATTCAGATGTGCAGCAAATGTGTCCAGTGTTTTGCATAGTAACTTGGCTATAAATGTCATAATAATCTAAGAAATTCTCAATTACACAGGGACTGTCTTGCAGAATATGGTTCTCTCTGTGTTGTTTAAGTGTTAGCACAATTCTGCCACTGAGCTCTTTCTTGTATGTCCTCTCATTTTGTCATCACTGCTCTGGAAATATGGAAGGCATTTTTGTGGTCATGAGAAGATGCCACCTCTCTTTTGCAGATGATGTAGAAAGAAAGACTGTGTTTACTTCTTGTTTCTTTACTTAAAGCCTTCCCTGTACATCAAACTTCTGTAGTTTGGTCTTTCTCACTCACCCAAACTGGCTTCCATTTGTTCATTTGCCTTATGTCTTAAATCTCAGTGACTGATTAATTAAAGATCAGATGAGCTGAGTATTCTCAGCTGTTGCAGGTCAGTGATCTATTTAATATGCTTTTACACTGGAGAATACTTAGCTATCAAAACCAAGTGGCCTATTTCATTAATCTTGTATTATGAGAGGTTTTTGTTCTCCAAGTTGAGTATATTTGCTCTCTCTTCTTAATTATCTAGATTTTTCCCATTTATGCTCCTCTCTTCAGATATAACTGGCACAGGTTCAGGGTGTGAATCTGCCCAAGCTGGAGCTGTGCATAAGCGCTTACTGTAAGAATGTTTTTATCTGTTAATGTTTTGAAGTGGATAAATTTGTGTCATTTTGCCAATTTCTTTGTTTCTGTTCTGTCTTCCTGCCCAGTTCTCACTGTTCCTTTGCTGTGAGCAAACATTTTGTAACACACTAGCAAAGTGTACCCTTTACATGCAGAATGTCAATCTATTCTTTCCACTAGTGATTGTTAGCTGAAAAGAACCTAAGAGAGCAGCTGAATTGGTGGTATTGAACCTAGATGTTTCAGCATTCTCTTTGGTTTTGTTTAAAAAACTCATTTATGAAATCATTACTTAACTGAAGACGTTGTAGCTAAAAGATGTTAGCATGGCTGTTGTCCTTCTGCATGCCTCCCTGTCAGCATACGTGCTGTTATACAGTCATAATTACATTGTTGTTTCTCCCTTTTCTACAGATTGGTTTCTATTTTTGACTCAGAACTGTGCAACGTACACCTTGTAGACTGTGTGTTTTTAGCTTATTTGTTGTGGAAGTTGAAAGGGGCATGAAAAATGAGATGTAACAGTGAAAGGAGAGAGCAGACTGGGTTTTTCTGCTCTTTGAAGATCAGGAGTAATAAAAGTCAAATTGCTTAAACCAAACTTTCATAGAAACTTGCAAATATGTTCTCTGTTTTCTATGTACTTGGCAGGAGGGGCTCAGAAGTGATTGGTGTCAGTGCTAAGCAGGTGCAGCTGCCATTTAGGCAACTGTTAGCTGTTCTTTTCCTATACAATATTCTGTGTAATGTTAATGTGCTGAAATTATATCACACATCTGGAGTCAAGCAGACATTAGCAGGTATTTTCTCTCTGGCTCAGTTAGTTGTCTGTAAAATAATCTCTCCTCTCCTTACAGGACTGCTGTGAAAATAACTTATTAGTGTATGTCAGATAGATGCTCTAGTAGCAAAAAGGAGCTACAAAAACTACCGAGGAAATTAATAGCTCTGTCTTTGTTGTGGTTCCTCATTAGCATATAATAAATGAGCTGTGGGATCAGGCAGTTTTGTTTCACAGCAGTGTGTAGAGCTCTGTAGAGAGCTGTACTCCATTTTGCTAGGCAATAGCTACAAAAAATTGCTCAGGAAAATCTTGCTGTCAGTTCAAGAGATGTTGCTTCTTTGTGCTGTACACCTCTGCTAGACGCTTTTGTTTTTATGGGAGGGAGAGTAGAAGCAAAATCGGGCTGGCCCCTTCGCTGCTGCAGTGAATGGTATGACATCTTAATTTATACTGATCTTAGTTTCATTTTTAACATTACTGTCTGTACAATGCAGTTGCTGAGAAACTACTGGGAACTTAATCCTTTGCCTTCAGCTGTGTATCAAATAATACTGTTCAAGGGGCAAGATGGGGCGTGCTACCCCTGAATTGCCTCAGCAGAACCTGGTTAATTTCATCAGCCAGAGCCTGTAGATACTGCGACCTCCACATGAAATTCCGTTGATTCTGTGTCTCAGAACTTCTGAATAGTGGCAGATGTGAATTTATGTATCCACGCACGCTCCCTCTAGAAAGCTGCAAAACATTATTAAACTGTTGAGGGAAATTCTATTTTCCAAGCATTTACTTTACACAGCAGTTTTTTATCTCAAAGGAATTATGTTTATTCTAAGGTTGAGCAATTCGTGAAATCAAATAAAGAACAAAATTGTTGGGAAATTGCTAATGGGCAATATGGAAATTGTTATGCCTTTTTTTTTTTCTTCTTAATTGGAATCTGATAGCCACCTGTTTGAAATGGTCTTTTTGGAAACAAATGCTAATAATGTCAGTTGAAGCCTGTTAAAACCAATTTCAGCGACCCAGCCTCTCACTGAACTAAACTTGAATGTAGTTTAAAAAGAGAAGAAAGGCAGCCTGTAGGAATTAGAAAATAATGATGATAATTTTTATTTTCTAGCATTTGCTTAAAAACATATATTCTCGGATTATAGTTAAGATGCAAACAAATTATTATTTATTACTAATTCTGTAAAGAGCATGAACTTAGTTGTATCAAATACTGAAATACTAAGATTGGCATAATGAGGATTTGCTTTAGTGTTGTGCCCTCTTCATTATATGGAACATCAGGAACTATATCTTTTGGTAAAATAATAGTTCAGTGTTGTCAGGAATGGAAAAGAGCCTCTCACAGGAGGATAGAACAGGCTCTGACCAGTGTCTTTTGTCCCCTGCTATTGCATGTAACAGGCTCATATGGATCCTGCATTTTTTCTGGTTAACTGTTTTTTTGGCTTGGAATACTCTGTGGAAAGACTTCAATACCTCACTACTTTGCCTATTGAAAGAACCACGAACAGTGGTTCTGCTGTATTTGACTCTAGCACAGCTTAAATGCCAGCTGAAATATCTTTCTGTTAGGAAGACTTAAGAAGGCAGATACACAATAAGTGAAATCCACAGGGTTAATGCACACCTGTTTGAACAGCAGCATTTCCAGAAAAGTTGTTCGGTGTGCCATCAGGAAAAGCATTTCAAGTGAAGACCCACAAAAATCACATCCAGGCCTAGTTCTGCTCAGTATTTTCATTCCTGGCTTGGATGATTAAATAGAAGGTAAACTGCTGACATTGTCAGATAACCCCGCATCAGGAGAGCTTGCAAGAATATTTTTTGGAGTAGGGGATAGGCTTTCAATGGTCTAGATTAGCTGCTACAAAAAACTCAAGATCAACAGGGTGAAATTCAGTCAAAGCAAATGTGACATGCCACATACAAAAAGCATGACCAAATTATGAATACAGAAGGGAAAACGACTGGTAGAGTTGCTGGGATTTTCTAACGGATCATAGTGTGGACTTGACAGTGGATAAAAAAAACCCAACCCAATGCTATTCTGATATATAATGTGTAATGTCCACTTAATTATTGACCACCTCAGAAACACTGTCAAACTGTGTTATTTCAGTGGCTGAGACCAAGCCTAAGGGATAAGTGCTTGACTGAGTGTTCACTCTTGATGTGTACTGGGAAGCTTACTTCATAATGAACTGTAAGGAAAAAAAACAAAAATCACAGGAAGAAAACATAAATGTCCCATGGATTGACTGCTAATGGGAAATTTCAGAAGAGGATGAGTCCTGTGCATGCAGGCATAGAGTTAGAAAAACAACACTGTTGGCGGAGAAGAGAGTCTTTGAGAGTATTAATCAAAAGCACATTTCTATCTGAAGAATGTAGGCTGTCCATCTAAATTCTTGTCAAAGAAGAGTAAAGCTGAGAGTGTCATCAGCCTGAATTAAAATTTTCTGGAATTAGTTTCTGTAAATGTTTTCTCTTAAGTATATAACTGGACAGAGTCATCGGCATTCAGAGAGGAAGAGCTTTAAATTAATGCAGGTACATTCCATTGCTGTGGAAGATGCTGTTGTCTAGGATGAGCTCTAGAAACATGAGTTTGCAGAGTTCCATGTCAGGAAGGGTACTTAAGCAAATATGATGTTTATGATGTTTTATGTTGAATTGGATGTTTAAACAAGAAATGAAAAGCTAGTACTGTATGATGATATACTTTATAAACAGAGTCTTTTTAGAAAATAACTTTTGTTAACGTTATTGACTGGTTGGTTGTACCTTGAGCCCACCTGGGACGTGATTCTTTCCTATTCTCTGCCAATTGTTTGGTAGGGAGGAATGTCAGTAACTTCAAAATGACTAGTTGAAAAGATCCGGATGGATACATATAAATTAATCTGTTGTTAATGTATGCAAGTGCAAGCAGAAATAAATCAGGTAGAGGGATTTTGTTTGTGGGGGTTTTTTTTGTTTATTTTTTGGGTTTTTTTTTTTGCGGGGCGGGATTTGTTTTGTTTTGGGGCTTTTTTTGAGTGTAACACAAATATCCTTCATACAGAATATCCTTGGAATTTTGGGAAGTGTATCCTTGGAGAACAAATGTATGTCAGCAATTGTGTGCAGGATTTAAGATTATACTTTCCCTTGTGATTCTAAGCCCATCACTTATTAACTCTAACTTGGTTTTGTTGGTAGAAAATGTAAAAAAACCATGATGGTGATAATAATTTCCTATTAAAATATTTGTTTCTCCCCTCTTGTGGCAGGTACTATGATGGTAGAACTCCAGGAGAAGGTAACTGAACTGGAAAACTGGAAGGATGGCAAAGGTCTTATAATCCATGGTGCAGGAAACACTTTTTGCTCAGGATCTGATTTGAATGCTGTCAAAGAAATATCCAACTCCCAGGCAAGCCATAATACACCCTATCATTTTGGAGAAAAATTAATATTTTGAGATTCTTTTTAGACATGGAGGTGTTGCACTACGCTTCTGCTACAATTTTGCATGCGAGTCACAGAATGGAGCTTTAATGGTCAAAAAAAATGCTGTCAGGCCCTTCAAGCTATTATTTAAGTGTTATTGTAAGTGATTCATAACTCTAAATTCCTACATTATGTGTTCTTTTTAGCCTTTTCTTTTAAAAATGTCATTTCAGTTTTTCACAGCAGTATATGGTGAATTTAAGTGTCAGAGAAGCTGTGCTTCTCTAGTTTGACCTTTAGAAACAGATAAAAGTAATAATTTCTCATATTCTAAAGTAAAAAAAAGAAATTTAAGTAGCATGGCTGCTATTACAGAAAGGTTTCCATTTTATCAAAACTGTGCTTGGAGCTGCATGAAATGGAAGAACAGATGTAATTCTTGTTCTGTACTTGAATCATGTGAATCTTGTGTGTAACTATGAAGATGTGGGGTTTGATGGTAAATTTTTGCTCCTGCCACGCATTTGGACAACATTCACATGTGCTACAGTTCTTTCTGTGGATTAATAAGTGGACTTGGCAATGTGTGAAATAGGGTCTTCCTGTGCTGCTCTTATACCTGGTAGCTGTGGTAAGTGCCAATCCTGGTGCTTTTCTGTGGCCACTTCAAGTTTCAGGATTTAACCACGTAAATGAAACATTTAACTGGCCCTTCCACTATGAACATCAACACAAAAACCGGTTAATCTGATACTTGTCTTTAGTAATGAGGTTTTTTTTTCTGTTTTTGAAACTAAATATCGTAAACCCCACAATGTCATAGATTTTATTTTTGGCCTCATAAAATAAAAGGACAGTCCAGTTTTCAAAGGGTATAGGACACTTTGTTTGCTTTTTGGAACACCACAAGAGAGATGCTTTTCTTAATACAGAAATGCCATGCTTTGTAAATATAAATGGATTTGGGGGACGTTTTCATCTGAATATTTTATAAGAACTGGTAATTTAAAAAGTATAGATGTGTATGTGGTTTTTTGTAAATTGATTTTTTTGATCTGCAATTCTTAACTTCTTTGAGCATTATACCAACAGAAAAGGAGCTAAAGCCAAGCAAGGTCAGTTCTTTTCTTATTTGCAGTCTATGCTTTCCTTCAGAGTTCTTAATTCAGTAAATCTCAGTGATTCTGCTTCCATACATTTCGTATTCTCTCTGTATTCTTATACAAATTACTTTGAGCCACTGCAGTGGCAGAGAGGACTCTTGCAAGGATTAGGTTCAGTAACAGATATACTGGGCAGAATGAAATGTATACATGCTAGTTATAACTTTGCTGAGAATTCTCTGCACAGAATCTAGATCTCATGATAGTATTGAAGTTAACACCTAAGAGTCACCAGAAATGTTCCAAGAATAGTTAAACATAGTTGCTTTTCTATTTCCTTTGGAGATTTCAAGCTATTGGTCTTTTACTGAGAGTTTCTTTATAATACTTCCTAAACCATTCAGTTTGGTGAGATTTAATAGTATTTTATTTGATAAGATTTACTAGTATATGGAATAGCATTTCCTGTTCTTCAGTCTTCCAGAACTCTTCTCTCTATCTTGATGCAGATGAGTGTTTTGTCTTGTTTCAAGTTTTCTGTTCACAGGCATCTTCAAGGCAAAAAAAAGTGAATAGCTTCAGGCCTGAATTGGTATGTCTTTCACAGAATATTCTGAGTTGGAAGGGACCCACAGGGATGATCGAGCCCAACTTTTAAGTGAACGAATTGAACCTACAACCTTGTTGTTATTAACACCACAATCAAACAACTAATCTGTCCTTTATATAGTTTCTTCCAGGCTGCTTTAGCCCATAGCTTTTAGTAATTGCAGGAAACACTTTCATTTTATCCAACCAGTTGGTTGAGGGAGGACTGTATTTTTCATAATTTTTGGTACAGTTTGCTTTTCCCTGTGGTCCAGCATAGACAGAATAATGGCCAAGAATGCTGAAGTATTTTCGTGCCCCCTAGTGGCTCTTTGTCCTCCTCTTCCACTTCATTCTTTTCCTCTTCCTTTGTCCACCTTCTCCCATGTTCAATTGTTCCTAACTCTGAAGCAAACCTAGGTCTTCTGCCTGTTTTTCTGAGTGCTAACATTACATAACCGAATCACAGAAGGTTAATGAATTTAAATTAAAAAATATTTTTCCTTCTGTCTTTGTAAAGCTTTGTACAATGTTCCCAGAGCGATACCTCATTTTGGAGTGAGGCTTGAAAAGTTGCCTAGCTGAAAAGCAAGAATAGCTCTTGAAACAACAGCTCAGAGGAAGAAGCACAAAGGAGAATTTTTCTTTCCTTGGTCCCTGTCTAGAAGCCCTAGGACAGACGTTCCCAAGCATAAGATATGGAGGGAGGACTTTGGACCAGTTGGAGATAATCTGGAAATACTGTTCTATCTGTAGTGAAAATGGATTCAAAGCTCTTGCATCAAAAAGAGCCAGCATTACAGTTTTCTGTTTTACGAAGGTGACTTTCTTCTTCCCTGCCTCTCAAGCCACTCCAAGCTATTAATCCTTTTATTCTATATGTAATGCATTTTACTGCACTACATATTTTACCTTCGTTTCTGCTAGTTACATATCTTCTTACTTCAAGGACAGTATTAGAGCTGCAAATATAATTATTCTACTAGACTGTAGTGAGCAACCCTTAGTCAGAGTATTTTATCTGAATAGAAGCCTTATTTTTCTTGTCAGGAAGGTTTGAAGGGTTTCTTTGCCAGGACTCAAGCAATTCTTTTTTTTTTTTTTTTTGGGTGTTTTCTGTGCAGGCATTTTATCCCTAGAATATACAGTAATCTCTCTACCACCTGAAAGAATGAAGACTTTTCTTTTTGTCTGCTCAGACATAAATGTGTTTTTCAAGTTTTTCTGTCTTGGAATGAATCTTTAATTACCATTTTGGATTTTGTCATGAATTGAGAAGGCCAATTTGAATGCAAGGATTCTGCTGTGATGAAGTGAAAAATCATGTTCTCTGAAGAGCTTTTGTGCAGCTTCATCCTGACAGTTGCAATATGGGAATTATGCAAGTCTGTGTCTGAGAACTGGTATCTTGTATGTTTGTGTGGGCTTTGAAGTTAGCTACTAAGGCAGCTATCATGAAGGGTTTGAATGCTCTTTAATTTTGAATGGAAATATTGTTGCTGTTCTTAGGGGCTGTAGGAGATGGCTACAGTGATAACTGAAAGCCTCTTTATAAATCAACGTGTGCTAAAATTTTCAAGCAGCCCTTTAGTGCAGTAAAAGTAAATACGCTGGTTCTTGTGTAGCAATTGTCATGGCACTCACATCTGCCAGAGATCTGCACCTAAACATCATAATGCTGGTTGTCTTTGGGCAGAGTAGCTCTTGGGAATACGTGACTAAATGGACAATAAATCACCTGAAATTGACCTACTGTTATTTCAAGGTCCTATTCCAAAGATGTAGTGGAGATTTAATGCATGTCTTTTCTTTTCCTGAGGTATGAGTCAGAGGCTTTTAATTCAGGCAGATTCTCTAACTTGCCAACTTCTGTAAAACTATGTTTTAGAAATTAGTAAATTCTGGTAAAGAGATGTTTGGTTTGGTTTGTTTGGATTTTTTTTATTTATTATTTTATTTATTATTTGAAAGGTGTGTGGAAATTTTTACCTATTGTTTTTTTCTACGGTGTCCAAACATAATTTTTTTCTTTAATCTGGGATAAATAATATGTGTGGTTCAGTTCAATATTTATATTAACGTGGTTCTGGATCATTTAGCCCAGTTATTTGTCAAGTTCTTGATTAATTCTAGATGTCTGAGAAAGATGATAATAACAGGAAAGAAAGACAGATAATGATTTTGTCTCAAAATATTTTCTTATCTCCCAGAAATTTGTGATTAAGACTTCTAGGGATAGAGGTGTTGCCTTTTGTTGCTGTTCCTATTGTGAGTTTATGTAGTTGTTCTTGAATTTGTGTAGAAGGTGTAATGCCCTGCTGCCAAGCGTTCCACATTTTAACTACACATTGTAGGAAGAAATAATTATTTGGAGCATTTTAGTTCTTGTGCTGGATTAGAAGAAAACAATTGTATCTTTTTCACTGTTGATTGCACGGAGATGTAAAACGTAAAGGATGAGAGAGATAAGAAGAATCTTCTTTCTGGTTTGATTTTTTATTTGTTTTGGTGTTTTGTGGTTTGGTGGGTTTTTAGGGTTTTTTTTTAGCTGAAATGCTTTTGGCCCAAACAATAAAAGCTTAAATTGGTAAATTGTATCTTGTCTAAAACTTTATGGATTTGGGACAGAAAAAAATATGTAGCACACAATGGCTTTGTTCAGAACTTAAAAACTCAGATTTATGGATGTTCAGCTTGAAGTGAGAAGAGGAAATTAAGAGGAAACACTGAAGTTTCACAACATAGAAATTCAGTATTGCAATTACTTTAATGGTGACTTAGTTATAACTTAAATTTATATAAGTCAATTGATTCTGTTTTGTTTTTTTTTTACCTGATTTATACTGGATTTTCTATTTGTGCATTGTGGGGTTGGGCTAGAATTTGGGCAACATGAACCAGAGACAAAACCCAGCTGAAGTAAATATAAAGAATGCTTACTCCTGTCTACTCCATCTATTTAATTGCTTCACATTAAGATCACTTAACATTTTTTAATTTCCTATTCATTGTAGGATGGGATGTATATGTGCATGTTTATGCAAAACACCTTAACCAGACTTACAAGGTAATGTATTTTATTTACCTGTTTATGAAGTAATTATAAGTTTCAGAATGTATTTTGGCTAATTCTTTAACGAGATGCTTAAAGTTAAATACATAGTTTTATGTATGTAATTTTGAATCCCAGACCTTGTATTCACACATGTTCATCAGGTAGGTATTTATGGATTTAAATTAGATTTAACATTTTCCAACTATTGGACTTTCCAGAGATTGGAACAGGAAAAAGAAAAACACTAGGTTTTTATGTATAGGGAGATACTCAGAGTTAAGGAAATCTAGGCCTTCAAATTTTCTGAAACTTGACCTCTGAACTCAGTGGAAGACAGTAGCTCTTAAATAACAAGCAGCAACAGGTTATGCAGCCTACATAGGTAACATTTGTTTGATACATTTATTTAATCTTCCCACTTCACAAGAGGCATGTTGTCAGTTCTACCATCTGGTACTTCTGAAAAAAACACCCTTTCCTTTAGACTTAGGTTCCTGTAAGAAGTCACGTTTCTATTAAATTCATTTGTGGTAGAGTCTGTCTTTTTCTGCTCAGAGCTCTTTGAAGATGAATACTCTTGCTTTTCAAATATTCTTTGTTTTCAAATAAACTATATGAGAAAATGTTAAGAATTAACATTTTTTCTGTAAAATTACCCGGTAGATTGGAGACATATTGGTAGTACTGTAAGGAATCTTCAGGATTGGAAGCCATTTGCATAAGCTGATCTCCATATAATCAAAATTGATGGGGCAAAGCTAAGAGGAGGAATAGGTGTGAAGATTAAGCCCTCACCTCAGGTAGACTTCGCATATCTTTAAGCCGTGATTCAGGAGGAATTCAGGAGCTGCTGTCTGGGGACATCTGTTGTAGATGGGATTAGTCTCCCTCAGAGGTGAGGCTGACTGATCCTGAAAGAGGTGCCTCAAATGGATTAGAGTGTGAATGTAGCCATCTTGGACACACATCTTCCAGTTTCTCGTAAACCACAGGAAAAATGAGATTGCCCTCTTCCAGTGGTTCACTTGTGCTATGTATTGTATGATCTGTGCCGCAGCTTGTAAGTGAACTTGGGCTGTGAGAAAGTGTTGGTGCTTCTGTTAAAGGAGAAGTAAAACCAGACATGTGGTTATGATTAGGATGTTGACTTCTGAATGTGGTCTGTAAACTGCTCAAAAAGCTAAATGTCTCTTCATAGTAAAAGATGAAACAGCTGCATTAGTGTGCAAATTCTGTGACTAACCAGCTGTCTTGATTTCTTAGGGAACTTGCCTTATCCTAAGTCACTGTTCATTAGTATTCATTTCACATCAGCAATGGGGAAACATACTTTTCCTTCCCTCTGTCCTTTGAATTACCTTGAACATGATTAAATACCTTGAACATGATTAAATACAACACCAACAAAGGTAACAGATTGCTGCTTTCCTCAAAAGGTTTCATCTGCAAAACAAAGTTTTGTTGATGACTGAGATAGTTGCACTCTGTTTGAAGAAGCTGCTGAAGCTGTCATGGTAAATCTCATTAATTTTAGATAACCCAGCCCTTCAGTTCTTTGTGTCTCTTTCTGCTGCTTTCTGTGGTGCACTGGCTTAGAGTAGAATTTCGTGTTGCTATCCTGTCACACCTTGCACGTAGTCTTTTTAGGTATATTCTATAGCAGGTATGTTTCGTAACATATTTTTCAGTACATTGTATTTATTTTGAGTCTATTTAAAATATCTGTGTTGCTGTTTCATTTTGGGATTCTGTATCAATTATGCAATAGTAATTTTGACAATTACAATTTTGGAATTGGTATTGTGCTGGTTGCTCACAAAAATGTAGTTATTTGAATAAATTTGAACAGTATATTTTTCTCAGCTTTTACTGTAGAAATCGTTTGGTTGAATGGTTTTGTAATTTCTGAAAGGATAAAAGCATGAATTTTGCTTACTAAAGTCTCTTGTGTAGGTTGCCTTTGATCAGTGTTGCACTAGTTCAAGGAAAAGCTTTTGGAGGAGGAGCAGAACTTACCACAGCATGTGATTTCAGGTAAGGCGAACAAGTTGTGTAGCTGTTATGTTGGGTCAGTGGTTTAATGATTGTCCAACTGAAATGTGAGAAGCTTGAGGTACCACTTCTACCAGGAGTCACATTCCTGGATTCCAAGGCATTTGCAATGAGATTTTGTCATCAGACTTCACAGGAAAAGAAAAGTGGTTTCTCCTAGGTTACATGGTTTGGATCACTTTGTAAAACAAGAGCAGTAAGGAACTTTAGCAACTGACTATGTTACACGCCAAGTGGGTCCAATTCACCCCTGAGTGAGAGGTAGGAGGGTTGCAAAATTGTATATCTCCCTGTGTCTCTTTATGTGAATGTCATAAGTAAGAATAAATAACTAAATCTCTTCATTACTCTTGTATTTCTTGTTCTGGGTTTATTATTTGTAACATAATTTTGTGCTGCACAGCTGTTGAAACAAGAGTTTGAGGTGCAGAGGAAAACAAATGAAGTTTTATCCCTGTTTTTTTTCATGCAGGTGCAGGGATTTGCTAGCATGAAACAACTGGCAAAAAAGAGAGGGCTTTAATTAAACAGGCAGAACAGGAATGGGAAGACACTAAAGTAATAAAATGTCACTTTATATAAACCATTGCTAATGTGCAAACAGCCTACAGATGTAACAGGATAAGCACAGTGGGCAGCATCTCTGAAAATGAGGAACTTTTAGTGAAGTTTTCATCTAAGAAAAGGAAATGTGCTCTTGAAGAGGGCCTTAGAGCCTGAAGTGGTAAAGGAATTGCCCTGAACAATCTGAAAGAAGGTACACTCAAAACTCAAAGTAAACTAGAATATCACAGTGCTGTTCCAGGTATCAGGAACAGGCTTTGGATAGAGGAGAATGGTATCTGCATTGTCCAAGCCACTTGGAAGCAATCTTCCTTTGCTTTGAAAGTAGATGTAGCTGGATCTTTCTTCGTAACTGCTCAGCACACAGTGAGCTGAAGCCCCAGCTGTGATGTGAGTCCAGACTGTGTTACAAATGCCTGGGAAAGAGCAGAGAGGCTCCGTGTTTGACAGCTGCAGTGCTGGCAGGAGAATGCACCTGGGAGACTCAGCAGACCTTTCTGTATCTGTGAGCCTGTCGACAGAAAGTGTTTCTTGTTATCTCCAAATAGGCGTTTAGGGAATGGGAATATAATGAAATGGAAATCTTTTCTCTACTTACACTCCAGCTATGCTGTTTTGACATGCTGTGTAATTATAGGCATTATCAAGTAGCTCTTATTTGCATGAATTGAGCAGCTGCAATTCCTCTCATGCACTGCCATAATTTTCATAATAACTACAGCTGTTGATCCATCTTCCATTACTTTCTACACACCCATCCAGTGCAACTAAATAACAGCAATTCAGGAGCAGCAAATGGAACTTAATTAATAACAGCAACAAGACAGAGAAACATACTTTGTGCTGTTATTGCTCTTGAATTTGAGAATTTTAATACTGGTGGACAAAATTCCAGGGGTTTTTTGAGGACTATAAATAGACATAGGTGGAACAGGTATTCTGTCCTCAGTCACTAGATGACAAAAGATGAACTTGAGACAGAAATCAGAGATTTGTTTTCTTCCTTGAATAAACTGTTTGGACATTTTATTTTTTATAAACAAAATGAGTTTGTTGTGGCTGCTTTTAATTCTAGATTTTTAAATACAGTTCTGTTTTTCACAGTTTCTGTTTAAACTACCAAACTGCTTGGTTTTGGCCTGAAGTATTTTATTATTTTTATCTCTACCACTTTGTACTACATTAACTATATTGATATAATTTGAGCAACTCACTTGAACAAAAATGACCTAGGTACCTCCTCTGAAATGTGGTCTGGCAGCATGAAGCACATCTCTACTAGAGTAGAGGCGTGTACAAATCCAATTTAAAATAGCTGAGGTGGTTTAAGACATTAGTGATACATTCTTCCTGCAGCAGTTCTTGTGGTTAATTGTTTCACTCTGTTTTAAGCTTGCTCATTTTAAATCGGATCAGGGGAGGATTGTGTGAACTTCAGCACGTTTATTGCTACATAAGGACAATGATGAAAAGTGAAAGCATCTTAGGTCACCTTTAATCTGGAGGAAGAGGTCCTCTCAAAATCTTCTTCAGCTGTTTTATGTGTTGTTGCAGTATGACTCACCAGAAGAGCAGCATCCTTTTAAAGATCATAAACATGTTACTAGAGGGAAAAAAATCAGACCAGTCCAGACAAGGGCAAGGTAATTAATTTCCTTTCAGACTTTTTCTGATATGAAAATTGGAAAGATAAAGCTTCTGACACTACAATTATTTATCCCAATTATTACTGCGAAAGTGAGAAATGTAGAAGGTGCAAGTATGAAACTTGCTCAGACAGCTGAGGATTTTAGTAATATTTTCAAGAAATACTGACTTTTTTCAGTGTGCCACAGTTGAGCATATGAAGATGGTTCATCTGCTGCCAAATGTTAATGTATTTTACAGCTCCGCATGACACTGCAGCCATTTCAGTGAGGTGCAGAAGTGAATGTGATGTTGGATTTAGTGACGGATTTTTACGAATAATTGAAGTACCTTCTTTAGGTTCCTTTATGCAGAAACTTGAAGTGTGTCTTGTGTTTAGACAATGTGTGAAGGTAAGGAGAGCAGATTTGGCAGGATTGGTTGAGGACTTTGGACAGGAAGACAGGAATGAGAGTATGTTGTCGGACAATAAGCTGACAGATATGGGGTAGAGACCGTTGGTAATGAATCCCTTTGTTCAATTAACAGATCACCATAATCTCTGAGTGCAGTTGCTGCAGTGCACTACCAGCCGATAGCCAGAATAACTAACTTTGAATCCTGAGCTGTCTTGTCTTCTACTTCATGTTGGTGCCTTTGAGAAATCTCTCTGGGGCAATGTCTGTGTAGGTCTTTTACACACATCTATGACTTTGAAAATTTGGTCTGACATCACCTGGCAAATGGACTTCCATTGTATCTGAGTGCTTCTGAGACACAGAGTCTCTTTCCCCCTACCTCCTTTTTCCTCTCTAATGCTGCTGCAGTCCAAGTAGAGGTGTGTCCCTGCCATGTCAATCAAATTTAAAATGTGGTGTCTTGAGGCAGAGGATGAAAATGCAGAGAAGGAAAACTGCCCATTTCTCATACTACTGATCTCAGAATGGACTTGTAGGTAGAAGCAGAAGTAATTTCCTTTTCTTCTTTAGTAAATAAATTAATGAACTATAATTTCTTCAGCTGTAGTTGATGTTGCACAGTTAAATTGCAAAGGGCCATTTCATTACTGTTGTAAGTGTTGAGGTAAGTAGTAGCTTATGCTAATAATAATGCATTTATCAAATTTGCCTTCTTTCATTTTAGCGGTGTGTTTTCTATATTTCTGTGAAATATATAGGCAAGCTTAGTATTATATTTTAAGGTGTTAAACATGTTCCATGAAACACTTAGGAAGAGATATAATGAAATGAAATGCTATTAAATAGCTTTTGGTATGTGTGTTCCTGTGATAATTTATGTTTATTTACTTATACAAGTACTTATGCAACTTATATGAAATCCAAGGAACAGAAGATCATCTAATATCTGCATAGATGTAGCTCCACTATGACCAACTGTTCAGTTGTTTCACCTTTTGAAAAGGAGAAGTGGAAGATGCCATAAAGGCTTTAGTACTTTATAGTAAACTTTTTCAAAAATAGTTTCAGAACATCAGAGCACAGCACATGAGCTTCTTTGGAGATCTTTCACTCTGTACAAGGATTTGGGCTTTTAATTTTATCAGGAGGAGCATTTAGGTGCACAAGATGCAGCTGTTTAAAATAAGGGTGCCTCAGGACATAGTAGCATTTTTCATAGGGCAGAGCCTAATATGAATGTAGCAGGATGGGGTTCACATATGCATGAGTTCTTGCAGAGTCCAGGCTCACAAACACTTTTCATTCATGTGACTGTAACATTGCTACACATCAGAGAAGAATCAGTAGCCAAATCCGAGAATGGGTTCTCTGTAGAAGCCTAAAAGATGTTTCAAAAACTGATAGCTGGATAGCTATGGAGCTAACTAAGGATTATTGGTAATAACACACTGTAAGAACAGGATGTGGGTGGAGAAGAGGCCCATATAGAGGTAGAGCAGCACTTTTCTGGGACAGATGTCCTTGTTCTGGCACCTGGAGATAAGTGCAAGTACAGAGGAATGAGGTTGATAAATGGGCATGCACTGTAGTGGGGGATTAAGACCATCAAAGACCCTTGAAGCATCCAACCCATTTCCAGAAAGATCTAGAAGTAAGAACTGTGCATGATAACTAATTTGCATAGAAAGTAAGAAGCTTACCTCCAGGACAGGGTAAACATGTCTATAAAAAGGTATCTCCACAAAGCCTGGGTGTGTGTGTGCCCCAGGACCCTGGATACTCCAGCTGGATCAATGCTGGCACTAGAACTGGTGATCTCTGTTTTATTCTTTATTCCTTTCTTTCTCTCTCACACTTTTTAATTCATCTCTGTCTCTCTTTCTCTTCCCTTTCACCCTACCCCTTATTCAAAACCCACTGCTTTGTGCTTATGCTGGGAGGTCACCATAACCATAATTTAGAATGACAATGCCCATGCCAAGTGTGTAAATTATTAAAAAAACTCTATAAGCTTTTGTGGACCCTCTGACTTTTGCCATTCCTTTCAACTATGTTCTCCTTAAGGGTGGGACACCACATTGTCACAGCTTCAAGTGCTTCCTGTTCATAGATCACTGTTTTAAACAATATAGAATTTTGATCTCATATATATCTCTATCTATCTATCTATCTATCTAGATATATATACATACATATATGTATGTATGTGTGTGTATTTAAAATCTCCTGCAAATCAGTTGGCAATTTTAGAATTCCAGTGCAGTCCTACATCACTTTGCATTTTACAGCCCTGGGGGGGTTGTTACTACAGGTTTCTGGTTATGATTTTAAAAGTCTCACATTGCCTGCCTTTAAGAAGGCTGTTCTTATTTT